AAAAAAGTATTCAAGCACAACATATTAAGAAAAATAAAGGAGTCGAAAGTTGATGACCTTCTATTTAGACTTAGTTATATAATAATGTTTATCAACACTTTTATTGATTCAAAACAAATGAGGACATGCCAAATAGAAGTTGTTGAAAGGTTAACTTTGTTAGAAGACTATCCAAGTATCTATTTGTGTTAGTACATTGTTGAAAGCTTGATAATAATGAAGCAATTGTGGAATCAGCAGTGGCGTAGTCATAATTTTGTTTTCGGGTAGGCTAAATAATATACAAAATATGAACGAGTGACAAAATTCTTTGTAACACTCCGTTATTTCAGGTCAATGTAATGTCTAAAAGTCGAGTCTTGTAACCTCTTTGTGATGTAATAAGAATATCATCGAAAATGAAATGTTCAAAAAGCTCCGTTTGAGTACACTATGTGGTAGATATCATGATAAGGTTTCCAAAAATATAAAGAACACTAAAATCCGAGTTATAACGAAGGAGTTATGACCAATCAAAGATTCGTAACACTACCGGTAAAGCGTTGTTAAACATAAAATGAGAAATTTCAATAAAATACCTTTTAGCCTTAGGTATCTAAATAAAAGTTGTAGATATCATTAAATTGCAAACATACATAAAAAGAACGCACAAATCTGACTTCGTATGAGGAAGTTATGATTTTTCAAAGTTTCGGACCAAGCAGTAGACAGCTAAAAACTCGAATTAGAGATCGAGCGAATTTCAGCTAACACAACCTAAATGAAAGTTGAAGACCTCGACACTAGGAATACAACGGTAAAAAGACTGACAAAAATGGACATCGGATGAAGAAGTTATGGAATTTAAACGGATTTTTCTTGATCCGGCCTACTAAAAATAATATAATAAAAATAAAGTCAAAACTAGCCGATGAAGTCTAAATGAGAGTTGTAGAGCATTCTCACACCTACGGGTGCATATAAAGAACATCGAAATCGAAGCTTGTACGCAAAAGTTACGGATTTTACAAATTCGGGACACAAAACCCGAGTCTGACTCAGCCTCACGACGTGAACAGTTCCATATTCACGACGTGAGACTGTGACTGATGGGTTCCAGAGTGTTAGCCACGTCAAATCATCGAAGGGGATAGAGCTGACTCAGCCTCACGACGTGAACAAGGCTATATTCACGACGTGAGACCCCAAAACCCTCCCTATAAATAGAAGCTTAGGGGTGTCGGGTTTAGTGCTCATTTCTTTCCATCTAAGTGTCGTTGCTCTGCGTTTATACCTCTCGAAGCCATCCCGACACCCCGATTTTCACACTCAAGATCCGAAGGAAGTTCCACACTCCCGAGATTCCTGAGAATTTAGATCTCACTAGTCGAAGTTCTGCTCGATTCTTCTCTCGACTACTTCAAAACAACCAATTCAATCAAGTGAGTTCATACCCCCTTTTATACACCTTCAAATACTTTATAATGTACTTTTAATACATTTCGGGGGAGAATTCAAGTAAACACACGGTTGATCCCGAGTGAAAACGTGAAAACTCTTGTTATACTTTACATGCATTAGATTTATACAAAATGCATAGTATCCAGGGTAGCCATCCTTGTTAAGCCATTTTATGCAGTCAAAGAACTTATAATTTATGCTTGTCAAACATTGTGAAAAGGGATAAACATTGCACACAAAACTATTATTTTAATACAGACTTAGTTGAGAATCCGTGAGACGATTTCATCTTCAATGCTACCTTTTTGTTAAAAGCTACTACCTAAAGTCCTGTCTATTATAACCAGAGTCTCCCGTTTGAAGAGCGTGTCAAATGTGTATAGATCTATACGGGAAGTCATGATCCCGCGCCCTGACTGTTAGCTACACTCCTTTGGGTGACAGTTTGTCATAACGTTTCGACGCCTGAAGACCATCACCACAAACATATTATGTTTAGTATGGTTATAAAACTCACCGGATAGACAATTGTTATGGTGTTCTAATTTTATGAATGAGTAGTTATTAAAACTATTATTCATCTAACAAGTGCGATCTTCTTATAGCTTTATTATATAAAACTATGCCTCAATCTTTTAAGCATTTCAGTTGCTTGCGATTTTTGGTCTTGGACATTATAAACTGTCTGTTACTTTAGGAAAATAAGGGATTTTCCTGTATCCAAAACAATCAACTAATAAGAAAATAAGAGGTTTTCCTGGTACAACTATTTACAATTCACAACACGAACATTCATATGCATTTCATACTTTTATAAGGAAATAAGAGATTTTCTTGGAAAACGCTTGAACTTGGGAATGGTATACATTTTCTCAAAACCGCTTATGAACTCACTAACTTAATTGTTGACATTTTTTCTTTGAAATAACTTGTATTCTCAGGGAACCGCTAAGCATGTTTGGAAACCAACTTTTGGGGATTAACGCTCTGACGTTAATTACTTCTTTTGAAAGATGTTTATGTATTTATCTTTTGAACATGTAACGAATACAATTATGTAAACATTTTGAAACCTTTATACATATGGTGGTATGTACTTTCCTTACTATGAACTGTTATGATACTGAATATGACGTCTTCCGCCCCCGAACGTTTCCGCCGTTCTTGTTTAGGGGTGTGACATTCTTTAACCCTAATTGCTTTTATTTAACAAAAATATATATTGTACATACAATATATGCGTAACCTTAATTTTTTGTGGGTGTGGCCTTGGCCCACTCTTGCCATATATTGGGTACGCTCCAGGACCAGTTTTGTTACTCGGGGCCTATTACTGAATTGTTAGTATAAATTTCATTATAATTGTTTTAAATACAATTGACTATTAGTTTATATTATGTATTAAATTTTGCTATCAAATTACAAATTTGTATGCGGTTGGTTTCTGTGTATAATATCCGCATCAGTAAAAGCATTAAATTCAAAAAAAGACTCCTTTTATAACACATGTTAGTCGAGATAAGTTGAAACAAGTTGGGAACTTTGAAGCGAATGCAAATGCTCTTGGGACGGAGCAGTTTATAAGAAGGGAAGATGATGAGCATGAAGCTGAAAGTAGTGACACACGGATAGGGAGTTGGAAATGGTTGAAAGAGAGTTTGCGGAGGAGGAGATAAAACATTATACATTGTTAATTTTTCTTTCAAAATTGATTTGTAAAGAATCATTACATAAATTTCTATTTATTGGTAGTGAGGTTAGAATGCAGACATGATAATCAACTTCGGAATCTTGTAATACATTTTCTTTAAGAAAGAGAAGTTCATAGTTTAAAATTCCTAAAGAATGTTGAGGTGTTATGAGGTTGTAATGATTAATAATATTACTTAAATCTTAAATAATTAAGTAATATGACATTTTCCTAGTATAAATATTCTGAAAGAATTAACAGTTAGTATTATTTTTTTATGAAAGTTAAACTATTTACAACTTGCAGAAATTTTGTCCGAAATTTAGCATTAGTTACAGTACAATAATGATTGAAAAACATATTAGCATGTGAAACGATTGTTAAATTGTTTCCATATATATTACTATTTTAATTTGGGTAGATAAAAGGAAAGTGTCCATTATACATGTATTTGTTTAATTAATCATTTATTTATTTCTAAAATCTCATTGGTTCACACATTCATACAATAATTAAGGTTTATATATGAACCTAACACACACACATTCTCTCTCTCTCTCTCTTTATATATATATATATATATATATATATATATATATATATATATATATATATATATATATATATATATAGGGTTAGGTTCATGTGAGACGGTCTAATTTTGTGAGACCGTGAGACGCATTTTTTTATTTATTTTTATTTATATTTATTTTTTGATTTTTCCATTTATTTTGTATTTTAAAATTATTTTTAGAATATGTACAGTGTAATATTCTATTTACAATATTTCACGTATTTTAAAAAAAAAATAGGATTTTTATTTTTATTTTTTTTAGTTAATTCAAGTTCCGAAAATAATATTTAAAAAAATAATTTTTAGATTTTTCCATTTATTTTGCATTTTAAAATTATTTTTTAGATAATGATTTAGAATATTTCACGTATTTTAAAAAAAAAGGGATTTTTTTAATTTTTTTTAATTAATTCAAGTTTCGAAAATAATATTTAAAAAAAGAATTTTTGGATTTTTCCATTTATTTTGCATTTTAAAATTATTTTTAGATTTGGTCTCACGGTCTCACAAAATTAGAATTGTTTCAAATGAACCTGAACCTATATATATATATATATATATATATATATATATATATATATATATATATATATATATATATATATATATATATATATATATGTGTGTGTGTGTGTGTGTATGTGTGTGTGTGTGGGCGCGCGCGTGCACACGCAAGATGTAAGCATTGCTTTTATTACATAATTTGTTTTACAGAAGATGAAATCATACAATGAATATGCATCTCTTGTTTGATAACTTTCACATTACTTTTTGACAAATTTTCTTCAAAAAAGTTAACAAATCAAGAGACATATCGATATCGTACTTTTGCAGTTTTATTTACCATATCGATAAATAAATAAAATACAAAAGAAATTTCAAACAGAATTCTACAAAAATATAGAGACAAAAAAAAAAAAAAATTATTGATATTTATACTAATAAGTTGACAAGTTTGCTTAATGGAAGCGAAAAAAACACCTTATTATTCGACCGTCGGTATGAATATGAAGTATGGAAGAGAAGTCTGCTGTATGAAAAGGTCATTCGGTTATTTTTGGCAAGATTTCTTAAATTGTTTGGTTTTGTTTATTTTTGGCAAGATTTCTTAAATTATTCGGTTTTTGTTTAATGAAATTAGGACGAACCACAAATTAGAAATAGAAGGCAAATGAGATGTTTATTTCACGTTTTTAAAACAAAAACACGGTTAGCGCGAGCACTTCATGGTCAACGCTTTGACATGTTACAAAAATTTCAAGCCAACTTCGATGCTGCCTGAGTTCAATCAAGACTATGAATTTACAAAAGCTCAAATCTTTTAGAAAGCTTCAAACATCTTATAACAATCAATCCTATTCGCTACAGTGCTTTGCTTCTACAACCGAGCCCAAAGCTCATAGTGATTTCTCCGAACATGGCGTCTTCCGTGATGCACTCGACCCGCTCGACGGAATGCCCCAGAGAGATATCGATGCTTCTAATCACAACCACCTGCTTTTCGAGTATGCTCGAACCAACAACAACGCTCAAGCTCTCCAACACTTTTTACGAATTCGTCGTTTGGGTTTACCAGTTAACGGCGCAAGCTTTTCTTGTGTTCTTAAAATATGCGGAAGCTTCTCCGATCAAATAATAGGCAAGCAAATACATTGTGATTGTATTAAATACGGTTTTGTTGAGGATGTTAGCGTTGGCACTTCCCTCATTGATATGTACACAAAAACCGAATCCATTTCAATGGCTGAGAAGGTATTCGATGAAATGCCTGACCGAAATGTGGTGTCTTGGACTTCAATGCTTACAGGGTATTCACTAAAGGGGCTTCATGATCAAGCTATAGACCTTTTTCTACAAATGCAAACTGAAGGAATCAAGCCTAACCCATTCACATTTGCTACTGTTCTTGGAGCTTTAGCTGACAATGGTGCAGTTGTGAAAGGGATGCAAGTTCATACCATGGTTATCAAATTTGGCTTTGAAAAAACCACATATGTGTGTAATTCTTTGATTAGTATGTATTCAAAATCAGGAATGATCAGATGTGCAAGGGAAGTATTTGATTATATGGAGGTTAGAGATGCAGTTTCATGGAATGGAATGATATCAGGTCTTGTTAAAAACTTGCAAGATTTACCTGCCCTTGATCTCTTCCTTAAAATGAGACTTTCAGGGGTAAAACTGACACAACCCATCTTTGTTACAATACTAAAAGTATGTGCTAACATTAAAGAAATACGTTTATCTAAACAACTCCATTCCATTCTTTGGAAAAACGGAATGGAATCGGATCCCAATCTTAGAACAGCACTCATGGTTTCCTACACAAAAAGCTCTGAAATGAATGACACATTGAAACTATTCAACTCAATGAGTGGAATCAAGAACGTGGTGACATGGACAGCTATGATTGGTGGATACATCAAAAACGGGGACATGAAAAAAGCTGTGAACATCTTTCAACAAATGAGAAAGCAAAATGTTTGGGCTAATGAATTCACCTATTCCACTATCCTTACTTCTCACCACATACTTTCTCCTTCTCAAATTCATGCAGAAGTTATAAAAACAAATTATGAATCATCAACTTCAGTTGGAACAGCTCTTTTAGATGCTTATACAAAGCTAGGAAACATGAATGATTCCATAAAAGTCTTTGATAGCATTCAAGAAAAAGATATAGTCACATGGTCAGCTATTTTATCAGGATATGCACAATCAGGAGACATTGATGAAGCTATACGAGTGTTTCTTGAGTTACAAAACAACAAAATCACACCAAATGAATACACATTTTCCAGTATCCTCAACGCATGTGCAACTCCAAATGCAGCAATTGAACATGGGAAACAGTTTCATGGGAGAGTATTGAAATCAGGATATGAAATCGCGTTATGTGTAAGTAGTGCTCTTGTTACAATGTACGCAAAAAAAGGAAACATCGAAAGTGCAAACAAAGTTTTTGAAAAACAATCGGAGAAAGATTTAGTGTCATGGAATTCAATGATTTCAGGGTACGCACAACATGGATATGGGAAAAAAGCGTTAGAAATATTCGAAGAAATGCGAAAAGAAAATATAAAAATGGATGATATAACATTTATCGGTGTAATTTCCGCATGTACACACGCAGGATTAGTCAACGAAGGTGAGAAATACTTTGACCTGATGGTTGACCATGGAATCAATGCAACATTAGAACATTATTCATGTATGGTTGATTTATATAGTCGAGCAGGATTTATACAAAAAGCCATGGATTTCATAAATAAGATGCCGATTGTTGCAGGAGCAACGATTTGGCGTTCGATTCTTGCATCGTGTCGCGTTCATAAGAATTTGGAATTGGGGAAAGTTGCAGGAGATAAGTTGATGGAATTATCACCACAGGATTCGGCTTCTTACGTGTTGTTATCCAATCTATACGCGACAAGTGGCGATTGGAAGGAGAGAGAGAAGGTTAGGAAGATGATGGATGAGAGGAATGTGAAGAAGGAAGCGGGATCCAGTTGGATTGAGATTAAGAACAAGACGTATTGGTTTGTAGCGGGTGATGTGTCGCATCCTTTGTCGGATTTGATATATGGGAAATTGAGGGAATTAGGGTTGAAGATGAGGGATGAAGGGTATGTAGCGGATATGAGTTATGTGCTTCATGATGTTGAAGATGAGGGAAAAGAGGAGATTTTGAATGGGCATAGTGAGAGATTGGCTGTTGGGTTTGGGTTGATTGCAACGGGTCGGGGTGTTTTGTTGCAAATTATGAAGAATTTGAGAGTTTGTGGTGATTGTCATACTGTTTTTAAGTTTATATCAAAGATTGAAGAGAGGGAGATTATTGTTAGGGATTCGATTCGGTTTCATCATTTTAAAGATGGTGAATGCTCTTGTGGAGAGTATTGGTGATTGTCGTTCCATAAACTTTCAGATAGCATTTGATGTCAAGATCAGAACAGAACAAAACAAAACATAAAACTGATATGATGGTTGCAGCAATCGAATCAGAACATAGTGTAAATTTTTTATTGGACCTAACAGTTTCGGTTTGGTTAGATTTCCAAACCGAAACAAAGTCTCATTTTTGTAAGAACTAAACTTGCTTTGTATTTTATAATTTGAAGATATAATGTTGGGTATATTGATATTAGTCTTGCATGGAAATTATGTGAATAAAATTGGACAGTAGCTTTAAGCAACTTGTTCCGCTACTTAGGCGACGCGACTTAAGAAGGTCGTGTGGCAAGTTGCATTGGGCAAACACAAATGTGGGTTTGCGACTTGTAATGCGAATTGGGATGCGACATGGCATGTTGTTAAGAATTTTTTTGAACCCATTGTTTATTGTTTGTTTGAGAAAGTTGGAAAAGTTGTGTGTTTTTATTAGGTGTGTTCGTATTAGAATTGGACGGAACCATGTAGTAATGAAACCTTTAGGGGCCTAAATAAGAACTAAATGCTGAACCGAAAGTTTGATTAAAAAAAAAATTTAGTTTGAATTTAAAGGTGAGCTCGGTACCGAGACCGGACTGAACTATTACCGAAATGTGTAGTACCACCAAAACCGTTTGGGGCCAAAAATAAGAGTCAACCCAATATATGGGCTAAGCATCTTGAGAAGCCAATCGACATCTAGAAAAACACATTATCGAGTTCAAGGAGGGGAGCCTTAAGCCTTTAAGCGACTGATGAACTGATCATTCTCACTAAAAATTCTACTTATCTCTTAAACCTAGTGGCTACTACATCAGATTTCTTTATTTCTCATTATAATTTAAGATTTCTCTATTTCGATTCTTTGCTTCTCAATCTATACTTCGCGTAATCGCATTCCTGGCACTATGATTTTTGAAGCATAGCGGCACCGAAAATCTGAAGAATTACGAGGTTTTTGATTTCTTAATTGGGTTTGGGTACTGGATTCTCATCTCTCTTATTTTGTTTTCTTTTCAGATTCTAACTCCTGAAACACCGAATTTCTCTACTTCTCATTCTAATTTCTGACTAATTTTGGAGTTTCATTTTCTTTTTGTTCTTATTTATGAAACACAAGCCACGAAAAGAAAATTTGAAGAAGCTTGAGGCTTTCAATTCTAAATTGGGGTTGGGTGTGTTGGATTTCTAAATTATGATCTCTCATATTCTATATTTTTCTCATTCCAATTTCTGATTTGTTTTCAATGTTTTTGTTTGTTTCAGGAGTTAGACTATTTGCTGGTTGTTGGAGCACGATTACAGCTTCAGATTAAATTTATACTCTTGTAGAGTTTCTAAAATTTTATATTCTGTTTATGTGATTTGAATCAAGAGGCATATAATTTTCTATTTAACTTATGCTTATTTTGAATATATGGACTTCTAGAAGCAGCAATAGGCATAAGTTTATTCCATTATTGTATTTAGGTCAATAGTTTTTAAAATAGCATGTCTATTTATGATATTATTATTATTTTTCCAGATCTTTTGACTTCTTGGCGTGGAAACAAAAACAAACTTTGTTGAGGTTATGGTTGCTTTAGTGAAAAGAAGTTGTTGAAGCTCTTGAAATTGTATCTACAAAGTACCATGACTTAAAAAAGATCAAATGAATTAACAATTTTCAACATCTAAAGTGATTTTTTTTATAAAATATTGATTATTGTAAAATAAAAGATGTTTTCGCTTCAAAAAATACACAAATACATCGTTTTAATTGATTTTTGTTGGTTTTTGTCTGTATTTTTGTTTGATTATAAAATTTATTGTATTAGTGATTTACTAAATTTTTATATAAATGTTTGCTCTATCGTACGACATATATAGGGTACGATATTGGTCCTACTAGTTTGTCTCATGAAATCAGGTTCACATGCTCACTCCTTGGGTTTTTAGAAGACTCATATGTTTAATGATTTTTCGGTTTAAATTAAAATTGTGTATTTATAAAAAAACCTACAACTTTCTCAAATTTTCTATTTTGCTTATTTACACGGAGGTTAACCCATAAACAGGTTAATCGAGAAATATGAAAGAAATTGAAAAAGTTGCAGGTTTTAGTTGGAAAATAAAACTTGTGACTTAAACCGAAAAGCCTTTAGGTAACTTTTGAAGTTAACCCTAATGTCTTGTTTACGACTTTTTTTTTTTAATTTTTTTATTATATATATATATATATATATATATATATATATATATATATATATATATATATATATATATATATATATATATAAAAGAAAGGTTAGGAAAATATAGCTAGAAAGAGAGGGGAAAGAAAATTTATTTATTTCGTGTTCCCGAGTTCATGGAAATGAAAGGAAAATCTTAAGTATATGTCGGAAAAAGAAAATAAAACTTAAGGATTTTCCTTCCTCTCACTTTCTTCCTAAATCCGTCCAAATTAAGAATAAATTTTAGAAGAAAAATGTGTCTCCAAAATCCTTTCATTCCCCTCATTTTTCTTTCATTAATGAAATCCAAAACGATTTTCATTCGACATCTCTCACTTTCTCACTATACCCATCAATATCTCTCCTTAAGCCGAACTTGGGAACAAGGCATAAGGGTGGATAGATATCGTGCATCCCGCCAGTTTGTCTATCAAGTCTAACAGATTTTGTCTTACCTATACAGGTCCATTGTACCCACTACCCACTACTCAGGACGACTTAGTCACCACATCAACAACCCCTCCAACTCCTCTTCACTTTCTTGAGCCCTTACACCCTGTTTCCGAGTTCAACTTACTGAGAGAAAAGAAAGTAAATGAGTGAAAATGAGAAGAAAGTAAAAGAAATTGGTGTTCCCGAATTTTATTAAAAGAAAGAATTGGAGGGAAATAAAATGATCATTTTCCTTTATAACTTTCCGTCCGATTTGGAAGGATTTAGAAAAAAAAGAACAAAATGATTAACTCTATTTCACAGGGGTAACAACCGAAAATACTACAAATGAAAGGGGGAAAATTAGAAAGTGCAAAAACAAAAGAACAGTAATCGTAATCCAATTTCACAGCCGCCTACTGAAATCCTCTGCAAGAAGAAACCCGAAAATGGGGAAGAACGGGAAGAAGCAAAAAAACCAACGTAATCAGAGGTCTGCATCTTACTACCTCGAAGACGAAGAACAACAAACTTACCCTTCAAATCATCCAGCCCCTTCTTCTCAATCCGATCCTAATCTCACTCTCTCCGACGAAGAATCAGAATCAGACGAACAAAACGACCAAAACCCATCACCAGATGACGACAATAGCCTCCCTTCAAAGTTCTCACTATATCAACAATCAGTACAGGTACAAATAGCCTGAACAAAACCCTCAATTTCATCAGCATTTTACTTGATTCTAATGTGGGGATTTATTGGGTGTTGTTCAATTTTTGTTACAGTCGCCTAAAGGAGACATTAGTTATCTACAGAAGTTCTTCTTGACTTACGTTGGTGGAAGGGCACCCCTCCATCTTCAAGAAGACTTCTGCGGCACTGCTCTTCTCAGGTACTTCGATGAATCTGTGAATGAATGAATCTATGGCTCAAGTTTGATTGCATTTCTTGTAAATTACATGAAGAAACCCTAATTTTTCGATCAATTGAACTACAGTACAGAATGGCTTCGGAGTGATTCAAGAAGAACAGCCGTAGGTTTGGATTTGGACGTGGAGGCTCTTGATTGGTGCATGGAGAACAATGTGAACAAAGTCGGAGCTGATTTATCTTCAAGAATCGTTCTTTACCATGGGAATGTGTTGCAACCTCACGAAGCTAAAGTAGTGAAATCCAGTTTTCAAAACACGATGCATAATGTAACACTTGAAGATGATGAAAATGGGATTGAATCTGTTGCTAATTCTGAAAAACTTCCACCTAGGGACATTGTATGTGCTTTCAACTACAGTTGTTGCTGCCTCCATAGTCGTCAAGAATTGGTTTCATATTTCAAAAATGCCCTTAGCTGTTTGTCTAAAAAAGGTGGAATTTTTGTGATGGATCTTTATGGAGGCACATCATCTGAATGTGAACTTAGGATGCAAAGAAAATTCCCAAATTTTACGGTAATTTCTTTAATTAATTACATATATTTCATCAACTATTTGATATTTTTCAGTTGTTACATGTATTTTTGTACCAAAACTACAATTCTTGATAATTTCATCATACTTTCATGTCGTTTTTTGGTAATTTTGCGTAGTTTTAATATTAATATGTTTTCAGTATACTTGGGAGCAAGCTGGGTTTGATATTATTCAAAGGAAAACACGGATAAGTCTCCATTTTACTCTGCAAAAGCATCAGAAGAAGAAGCTTCGTCATGCTTTTTCGTACAGCTGGAGATTGTAAAGATCGTTACTTTATGCAATTTATAAAAACGCTACAATTTATTTATAGAAAATCACTAAAATGACTATCGTGTATGGCGTTTTTTTTTAACAAAATGACCATCTTTTTGAGCTTTTACATACTCACCACATGGGCCCACAAATGGCTTTTTTAATGGTCCCCACCACAAAAAGTCAAATAGTCATTTTGGTGATTTGTGTAAAAGTGATTTCACATGTGGGCATTTGTGTAAAACACCAAAAAGGCATTTTGTATTTTTGTTAAATGCTCATTCTTTATGTTATGATTTTCTCATATATAAAACTTTCCCAAGAAAAAAAAACAAGATTTCATTTCAATCAAAGGTTTTGTTACAAGATTACCATTTTGTCCTTCGGTAGTCATCACAAAAGGTTGATGACTTTTGATCATTGATGAGGGTATTTTAGACATTTGACTAATAGTCAGAGACATTTATCAGGTGGTCATTACCGGAGATTAAAGATTGTATGGAAGAAGCTGGATTTCGGTCTATTCATTTCTGGATCCGTCAAATGCCGGATAGTGAGAACATCAAAAGTATTGAAGGATTTGGTGGGGGTAAAGATGTCAAA